GTAGTTCAGGCTGGCCTTGAACTCACTATGTAGCCCAGGCTACAGTGATCCTGCTGCCTCAGCCTCCTAAATGCTGGGATTCTAGATGAGTTTTAGAGTTGTCTTGCCTAGAGCGGGGCATGGTGGTGCACGCCTGTAATCCCAGCACTCTGGGAGTCTGAGGCAGGGCTACTATAGTTGCCCTCAGCCCAGGCAGTTATTTAGTGAGCCTTTGTCTGAAAATAAATAAGAAAAAAGAACTAAAGATATAGCTTCCTGGGAAGGCCCTCTGTTCAATTGCCAGGCTTGCAACACAAAAAAAGAGGTGTCTTCCTCGTTGTATCTTCTCGCCTATGGGGTTGGTGGGAAGGGACGACCCGGGATCCAGGTCTCCGCGGCCCAGTTCCCAGACGGGAGCCAGAGGCACGGGCTAGATGAGCCCACGGGGGGAAGACAGACCCTGTCCAGCAGGCCCGAGGTGAGGGCGAGCAGAACCAGAGGAGAGAGGTTTAAACCAGCGAGAGAGCTAGCCTGCGCAGGTTTAGCTGGGCAGGGCTTCCCACCCTAGGGTGGGAGGGAGCTAACGGACCAGATGAGAGGGCGGAGAGCGGGTGGGGTAGGGGCTGCTGAGCCAGGCTGGGGTATAAAGCCTGCTCTGCCCTCCATGGGCTCAGAGCTTTGTGGCTCCTCTAGACTGACAGCTGGCTGGCTACCTCTGACCCAGGTAAGAGGGCTGCAGTGGTTCTCAGGGGTCTGGGATCCTGCCTGGGTCGTGGGTCGTGGGTCATGGGTCGAGGGTCATGGGTTATGGGTCGTGGTCGGTACTGGGGTCCCCTGTGCAGCAGGGATGGAGAGTGACATCTAGCAAGAGCAGCCAACCCACAGGTCTCGTGTGGTCCAGGATCCCCATGCCCAGGGCTCTGGCTGCCGGTGATCTTAGGGCACTGGGGCCCGCTCTACAGCGCCGTTTCAGGAAAGCTTGGCTCATCAGGCTCCATTCTGGCCTGGACTAGAAGCTAAGTTGCCACTTGGGCGGTGAAACAGTGCAGGCTTGTGCTTCTCATCTGCAAATCCAGGGAAAAGGGCTGAAAGATTTAGGGTTATGGAAATTATGGGAGCAACATTTTGGCTTCCTGCATGGACAGTGTGTCGTGGGTGACTGCAGGGCACGGAGATGGTGACGTCCAGATTAGGGGTGCCGCTGGTAAGGGCCCCATAGCACAAACCCGGGTTCCTTGTGGCCAGCACATTTCTGCAGCCTTGGCGATGAGCTCTCCAGGATGCCAGGGGTTCAAAGGCTCCTTTCCACCTCCGCAGTCAAAGGGAGGGTGCAGGCGGGGCGCTGGGGCCTTGGGAGCCTCTCTAGTTGCTCAGGGGAGAAAGTGAGGCAGCAGCTTGCCCTCCTGCTGTGAGTTAGGGGGGGAAGACAGACCCTGTCAGGCAGTGGGGCCAGCTCAGCCTTAGGGAGGGGAGGTGTTCCCCACAGGCAACTTTCTCTTTTTCTTTTTTGAGATGAATCTCACTAGGTAGCCCAGCTGGCCTTGAGTTTGCTATGCAGCTCAGGCAGCCTTTGGACTCTAACCTTACTGCCTCAGCCTCCCAGAGGACCACCTAGGAGCTTTGTGGGGTGACAATGCCTGCCCTTCCCTCTGGCTGGAGGTTTCAGAAAGAATGAGAAGCATTCGAAAGCTGTAGGTTTACAGGGTTTGGTGCACACGCCTGTAATCCCAGCACTCAGGAGGCTGAGGCAACAGAATGTTGTGAGTTCGAAGCCAGCCTGGCTTACTTAGTGAGACCCTGTTCTTACCGCCCCCCCTCAAAAAAAGCCAGAACAATTGCAAGGGCAACCTGAGTGGACATTACCATCCAGGGAGAAATTAAATTTTATGTAAGAAAGGATAGCAATTCTATTAACATTTCCAGCGGTCATCTCATTTCCCTCTTGGCAATGTCCAAACAACCTTGTCTTTCCTGTTTTTTTTTGGGGGGGGGTGGGGCTCTTTCAGGCTGGCCTTGAACCCTTGGGGGATCTTCTGGCCTCAGCTTCTGAGTGTTGGAACGACAGTCATGCACCACACACCATGCACTCTGCACGGTCTCCTTTTCCTGTTTTATGAGACAGTCTTGCTGTGTGTTTCAGGCTGGCCTTCCTCTCCGTGTAACCCAGGCAGCCTCCCTCATGTCAGTCCTCCTGCCTCAGTCTCCAGAATGCTGAGATGGCAGGCGTTTGACACTGCCTGGCCAGTCTTTTTCTGTTTGTTTGTTTTTGTTTTGGAACTGGTTCTGAGCCAGAACCTTTGCACTGAGCTACAGTCTCAGATTTTTAAAAATAATGTTTTTAAAAATTTTGAGACAGGGCCTTTCATTTGGCCAGGTTTGGCTCAAATTTGAAATCTTCCTGTCTCAGCTTCCCAGCACTGGAATTACAGGTGTGACCACCACACCCTGCTGGTGATTTAAAGCATTTAATTAGCTCAATCTCCCAGTCCGATGAACAACCTGAGAACAGGAAGCCCCTCTGAATCTGGAGTTAAAATGTGACCTTGGCTTCAAGCACAAAAATATTAGCAAAAGCCAGCTTTGCCTCAAGGCTTAGCAGGTAGGGGAGTGAAGCATTTCTCTGGATGAAATATCCCTCTAGAGTCCCACCTAGGCCATGCATCTAGAGGGGATTTTGATCTAGCAGTGTTTGGGCACACCTGAATCCCAGCAGGAGGCTAAGCAGAAGGATCATTGTGATTTCAAGGCCAGCCTGGAGACCCTTCAAACTGAGCACCTCCAATAAGAGGCGCCATCTCAATCGGGAAGATGACCCCGGACTGAGTTCAGGGCCCTCTGCCTTCCTTGGCTCCGTCCCGTTTTGCAGAGTTAACAGAACAGGAAGTTGCACAGGTTCCCAATGCATTGGTGTGAGGGACATGCTGATGTGAGGGTTCCTCCCAACTCCCCCTCACCACCACCCAGTTCCTGGGGCTCCCGGAGACATCTGATGAGATTCACTCTGCCACTGACCATCTGTTTACTCAGCTCGAGCTGCTCGACCTGGATGGCTAGGTCAGCAGAGATTTCCCACTGAGGTACCTGGGAGGTGGATGCCTGATGAACAAGACCCTGGTGGGGTCTAAGGGTCTGCAGAGTACAGAAAAGCTACAGCTACGTAACAGTGTGAGGGGTGGTGAGCTTGAAAGAGAATGAAGGGCTGGGCACCTCCCAAGTGGACAGGGCCACCCTCCTCTAGGAGGTGACATTAGAACAGAGACTAGAGCCCAGCCTTAGAAGCATTGAGTGCAAATCCCTGTCCACCCAGGAGAGACCAACGAGAGGCCAGCCCCAGGGCAAGCGCTTGCCGGCTGAGGCTGAGGCTGAGACCTCGGAGGCTGGTGTGGCAAGTGGAGAAATCGGAAGGCATCAGCTGTGCTGTAAGTGCGACGGGAAATCTCAGGATTTGGCCTTTGTGTGAATTCCACCTCTGCCTGTCCCTTAGCTCTGTGTTGGACAATAGAGCAGAGAGGACAGAGTGGGCACTTATGACCCTAGAAATAGTCCTTAGCTTCTAGACTTGCAGAGTTCACAGAACAGGAAGGAGGGGGTGGGGCCAAGCCCGCAGGCCAAGAGAAGTCTCTGCCTCCAGGCCCGCTGCAGGTGGAGCCACTGCGAGGGTTTTTGGATGCCCGGTTGTGGAGTCCAAGGCTGGGGGTGAGATTGAGCCTCTAAGAGCTTTTGGTTCGGGCTACTGGGTGATTTGTTGTAAGCTGGGGGAAGCTTGGAGTCAGCTGAGGGTAGAGTTCAGGCATGACCAGTTTGCAAGCTGGGGACCGTGCATCAGAGCTCAGTTCAGGCTAAGTGAGAAGGGGCCACTGTGGGAAGCACTTGGGCATTAAAGATGAGGCAGTAGGCTCCACAGAAGCGTCCTGATTCCCTCTGTCAGGAAACAGATCTGGGCAGAGGCAAGGGGAATGAAGTGGTGGAGAATTTCAGTGGTGGAATTTCACATAGGGTGAATGGCCATCATTTTGTGAGATGTTTTATTTCAGCTGGGTTTATTGGTCCAAGCTGAGCTTACTGGGAGTCAAGGTCCAAGCCAGGACATGGGTGCATCCAGAGAGAGGCAGGCGAGGGCCCTGAAAGGTCAGGGAGGGACCACGGCCTCATACTGCCATGCTGGGTGTAGTATCACGGAAGTCAGTGGTGACATGAATCTTAAGAGCCCTATGCAGGAGTTACACCAGGTGTGAGCCCCACTAGGAAGGGTTGGGTGGGAACTGGGATGAAGGGAAGAAGAGAGGGAACGGGAAGACTTTCCAGGAGTTCTGCTGCCAAGAGACAGTGAGGGGCCTGAGCCCTAGGACGCTGCCCGAGTAGGTGCTGGGAGGAGGCCTGGTGGGTTGGAGAAGAGCCAGGAAGCCACGTGTCAGTGGAGAAGGTTCCATGGCAGAGAGCCCTAGGAGGGAGAGGGGACATGTGGGGAAACATGAGGGGACAGTTGAGTGTGTCCATCTGGTAGGAGCCTGGAGCATTCAGCCTGCAGCAGGGCAGCACAGCAAGGGCGAAAGCTCAGGAGGAGGCTTGAGGTGCAAGGCCAGAGAGGTGGACCCAGGCCCGAAAGGTGGGACACCGTCACACCTGCTGTGTGCCAGGGGTTATGGTGTGTGTGTATTCATTCCTTAATTTACTGGTAACTTGCAAACGCTGAAGAATTCTGTACCCAGGCCTGGTGGCTGTGACTCAGGGATAAGTGCTCCTGCTCTCTTGGGGCTATTGATAACCAGTGCTGTGACTGGTCCCCCACCTGCCACACGGGGTGCTTTCCTCGTGGCGCTGCCAGCCCCCCAGTCTCACCATGTGTGCTTGTCTCCCTAGACTGTAGCTAGAGTAACAGTGGTGATCCTGTGGCATGCAGGCCACAGTGGGGTCCTGTCACTGACAGCTCTGCAAGGTTCTCCATGCGTCTGTGTTTCTTACTCGGCAGCAGCATAGCATATGAATGAATATTGCCGGCAGTCCATAAATCGCACCACACCTATTTCTAAGCTTTCTTGGTTAATTTCAAATGACATAATCAGATTTGAACACTCAATGCTAACTTCAGAGGTGGTTGAACGGATTTCCTCCTGTTAAGAAATGAGAGAGAAAGAAATGAGGTGAAACTACCCCAAATCTAAAGACTCTAAGGTAGAAAATAAAATAAAATAAAATCCAGGATCAGCATTAACTTCTTTAAAAAATATTTACTTAGAATTATAAAAGGAAGTCATAGTCTTGGTAAATACACAAGGAAAGTGTTGCGCGTATAGTTGGCTTTTACCTGATAGGCACTTGGGTGTTTAATTGTCTTGTTTCCTTCCTCTAGTTGGGTAGCAGAAAACAAAGGGTTAACCTTGGCCTAACTCCAGCATGTGTAGATATGCATTTTATGTTAGGTTGAACCTTGTGAATTTGGCTCTGTTCAGCTCCTAAACACTTCTACTAGTGTGCATCTGGGGTGCATAGTAATTGCATTCATCATGGGGAGCGATGCAGGGACGTGGCATTGTTTCTAACGTCCCCTTCTCCCCTCCCCTTCCTCCTCTTTTGGTCCCCCTCTCATTTTCAAAGTGTCTATCTAAAAGCAGCAGCTTCCTATGCTTAAGAATAAGTAGCCCCTGCCTCTCCCGCCTCTGCCCTCCGATGCTCCGCTTCACTCTCTGCAGTTTAGGCTGGCCCAGCCTTTCTCTTATTGTTTAATCAGTTGTGCTTTATCTGCTTGTTTGTTTTTGAGGCTGAGTCTCAGCGTGTAGTTAAGGCTGGCCTTGAACTCTATGTAGCCCAGGCTGGCCTCAAGCTTGTGGCAGTCCTCCTGCCTCAGCCTCCTGAGTGTTTGGATTACAGACATGCACCACATTACTTCTTGTATCTATTTGTAAAGTGCCATAAATCCATTTTGGAGCATCCTATGATAGGAAATGCAGTCTCCCATTTCCGATTTCTGGAAGTCATCATGAAGAACACTTTTGCACATTGTTTTCTGGTATTCTTTTCTGCCTCTTTATAAACGTATGTAAGCAGGGTGCTGTCAGAGCTGTCCTCTGTCCCTTGTGCATTTCTGCATGTAATCCTGGTTCTGCAAAGTCTTCTCCCTCACGCTTTTGTAATGCCTTATTTGATATTTCTTGAATTCTGGCCACATCTAAGGCACTCCCTGCCCACGGCCTGACCAATCACTGCTGAGATTTACGATTGGTGCCCCAGGGCTCCACACAAGCCCCTGAAGTTCCAGGGTCTTGCCCGGTGTCAGGCCTCTATGGCATGATCCACCCTGCCCCTTTCTCTCTCAGCATTGTGGCCAGGAAGAGGAAAGCACGTCGCCCTTGCTCTCGGTGAAGGAAGCTTTTCCCCCCAGCCCCGGCCTGCACAGCAGTGCCCAATGGGCAGTGTGCACTGGCCCTTTGTGCTGGCTTCAGTAGCCAGCAGATTCTTTGTGCTGGAGTAAAAAAGGACAGCGCAAGGCCCAGGCTTTTCTCATCACATCGATTTCCTGGGTTTCCACACCTGGTGACCCAGGTCGGGCACGGAGCTGGCTCAGGAGAGAAAAGAGGTCCTGGCTCCTAGGTGCTTTCCTTTGGGTCATAACGGTCTCTCAGGAGGAGCAGAGTCACTCTGCCCTGTGGACATGCTGCCACTTCTACTTTTTAAGGGACCTCAGACCTGTGAGTGACTTGGGAGACTTAGAGTCCAGGCGAGCCCCTACCTGCTGGCAGGCCTGGCACCTGCCTAGAATTTTTTTTTAATGTAGTAAATTTCCCATAAAATCCCGGACATCTCCCTTCTCCAGAAAAGTCCAAAAATCTGGGAGCTTCTGACCATGTGCTATCATGCAATATTTTCAGGTGGCCAGTGGCTGGTCAGATGGGCAAAGTCCCCGCACCTCACCAATGCAGAATACTAAATTTTACCCTGTTATCCTTTTTCTTTTGGGACAGAGACTCAACTGTGTAGTTCAGGCTGGCCTTAAGCTCACTTTTTAACCCAGGCTGGTCTCAAATTTGCAATGATCTTTCTGCCTCAGCCTCTGAGTGCTGGGATTACAGGCGTGCACCCCAAACCTGGCATCAGTTATCCTTACACCTGGCATCTGTCATCTAATCTTTGTGAGTTTCTCTAATCTCTAGCTTTTCATTATTAATGGTTCTCCATGGTTCGAGGTTAACTTGATGAAAAGATTTCTGCAATAGAAAAAACCCACATTGTGAAGCCTACCGTGCTATCTGCATCCTATTGCTCTGGTCCAAGGTCAAGGTGATGGCCTTGACCATCTGGTGCTGACCTTCATGCTGGCAGGTGATATGGGATGTCACACGGATCCTAAGAAGAGACAGGAAGTGCAAGGAAGGACAAGCCACACTGGCTTTTATTGCAGACCTCTAGAAGTAACCCATTAACCATTAATCCACTAATTGCATGATGAATTAATTCACTGGAGAGGGCAGAGTTACCTCTCATGGTCCCACCTCATCCCACTGCTTGAGATCTTGTGGGGATTAAGTTTCAATCCTTGATTCTGAGGCAATGACCCATATTCAGACAGAAGCAGCCTTGTACTAGATCTTAAATGTGAAGAGGTTGTGCAGTTTGGAGTTGCATATGCACTGAAATAGTTCCCAGGTATTCGTCACTGTAAGCATGGCCTTTGTTAACATCTAACTACAGATCTCTCTAAGGGAGAGTCATGGGAAGAAGACTATTTTTAACCATTGCTCACAGGCTGGCACTGTCTTGGATCACACACACAGACACACACACACACACACATACACACACACACACCACACACACACCACACACACACACACACACACACACACACCCCGAGTGTTCCGCCCTTTGTATTTTTCATAGCCGCATCCATATTGGGTTATCTACCTTTTCTGGGGTGCTCAAGGCTGTTGAGGTTTCTCAGTGCAGGCAGGGCGGACCCAGACTCAAAGGGGAGCAGGAGAGAGTCAGGGGTTCAGCCTGTGACCAAAAGCTGTGTTACAGAACTTTTTTTGGTACTGGGGATCAAACTTACAACCTCATGCTTGCCAGGCAGGTGCTTAAGCCGCAGAGCTAAATCCCCGGCCCTCCCATTGAACTTCTTATTTGACCTTTTGAGTTGATTTGTCATCCTGGGTTTGAAGTGACCCAAAGGCAGGGAGTCTAACTTTAAATCACCTTCAAGTTCAGGTTGAGATAAGTATCCAGGGAGTACTTTGGACCCCAAATCCTAATTATTCAACTCAAGCAGGCCATGTCTTTGGAGGTCTGTGGGAAAAAAGGTCACATAGTAATCAATGAGAGATAAAGACAGTGCCATAGTGTGGAGGCAGAGAGAGCACCAGGAAGCTAGCCCTGTAGGTACCGAGGAAGGCTGGGCTGAGAGTGCAGGAAGAGAACAGCCTGGGCAAAGGCCCTGGGGTCCATGTGAATGAAGGAAGCTGAGAAACAGAATGGCAAATGAAATCATTTTTCTGTTCTGACCCTGCCTTCTGGCCACCACCAGGCTATGAAGCCTGGAGTTGTCCTCTGTCCATGCAGACTGTAGGGCAGTCATAAAGGTTAGTGGGGCACAAGCAGTTAAGTTTCATCGGCTTCATAGGGATGGCCATGTATTTCAGGTGGTCTGGGCCAGCGTTCCTCTAGAGGGTACCGTGATTCAAGCTCCAGGGCACCAGCTGTCTTGCTCCTAACGTGTGGCAGGTCCTTGAAAATGAGGAGTTGCTATTACAGCCTAGTCCAGTCCTAGGTAGTAAAGAAAGTTTCTGGTTAGCAGCAAAAGCAGCTGCGATTAAGTCTTGGCCGTCAGAGCTATGGCGTGGAATTAGGCTTCTCACAGGGTCGTGGACTCTTAACTTGCCACACAGCTTTAGTGACTTCTAGCTGAATGAGTAGAGGAGCCGTTTTCATACAAACAATGAGAATCAGCAAGATGTAAGATGTCTGCCGGACCATGCAGATCAAGCCGGGAAATTAGCACTCTGGATAGTGGTGGTTTAAGTGTCTAGAAAGTGTCACTGCTAACACCACGCAACAAGAAGCAGAAAAACTGCTCCTGAAAGTAACCCACACATGAAAAACTGAAGCCCAGCCCAGCCTGGGGATAAATAGGAAAACAGTTCTGAGATACGGGGAGTTACGGGAGCGTCATGAGGTTTGTACAATGATTAAAGATTCATAAGAGGTTGTTAAATTCAGTTTGCTCCCAGCAGGAAAATGTGTGTCTTCTGTTTTGTTTGACTTTTGAGATGATGCCTCCCTGTTTCTCCTAGGCTGGCCCCCAACTCCTGGGTTTAAGTGGTCCTCCCGCCTCAGCCTCCCAAGTGCTGGGATTACAGGCAGGTGCCACTCTGCCCTACCAAATGAGTCAATTTGTGAGAAGCATTTATAACAGTGTCTGGCACAGAGCAGCAGTATGTCTTTATTTCAAAAGCATAAAGAGCTGGACACGGTGGCAGCCTCCTAATGCTAACTACTTTAGAGGCTGAGGCAGGAGGACCCCAAGTTTGAGATCAGCATGGGTAATTTAGTGGGATTCTGCCTCAAAGCAGGAAGGCAAAGGATTGGGGGTGTAGCTCAGGGGTACAGCACATACTTGGCCTAGCACGATGGTGTCATTTGTGGCAGTGATTCCGTCCTCTCTCCTTCTGGGGTCATCCCGTAGTTTTTCCAGAATTTGCCACTCAGGCTCAGGTTCCTGAATGCCAGGAGGTAGCTTTGGGTGGTTTGGAAATGTCGCCTGCACATCCCTGAGCAGTAAGTTCTCGTGCTTCTGTGACTTAACAACTTAACGTCAGTTTGTGCGGCGTCTCCATTTAGACCCGGTGGCCCCTGTTCATTGCTGTGTACCTTCTGGGCACCTTTGTGTGAAAAGGGCGACTTCACGGTGGCGTTTCAGGCTTGTGTTTGCTCACCGCTATCACATTCCACCAGGACGGGGGCACGGGCACTGCCTGAAGCCGCGACGCTCCCGCACTGTCTCGGTGAACGTGCGCACGTATTTCTGTTGAGTCCTGCCCAGCAGTAGATGTTGGTGCTGCCCCTCCTCTGCTTTACCTTGCTTTCCCCTTTTTCTTTGCTTTTCTGGGGACAGGGTCGCCTTGAACCCACTGTGGTCCAGATTGGCATCACACTCTCAGTGACCCTCCTGCCTCAGCCTCCAGAGTGCTGAGATTACAGATGTGCACCACCACCCCTGGCCAATTATTTTTTTATTAGTACATGTTTGATATATATAATGATCAGTCATCACGGGGACTTTGTACCTGTACAGTTATCTTTTCCATCTCATTCCCCCTCCCTCTCTTCAGCTCTTCTTCCTCTCTATTTACAAAAGTTCTGTCCCCCCCCCATTAATTCTCTTAAAATCCCCTCCCGCCTTCTCTCTCCCTTCCCGTGTCCCCTTTCCATTTGAACCTGTTCTTCCTGCTTCCTGACATCTCTCCTCTATTTTGCTCCTCACTTACCTTTGGGTTTCTCACACAAGAGAAACAATGTGATATTTAAACTTGTGTGTCTGACTTTTTACTTAAGATTCCCAAGTGCATCTTGTGTCTTTGCGAGTAAATCTTCTGGAAGTCCTACTGTTTTGTGTTTTAAATGCACATATGTGTATGGTGAGAGGTAGGGCTCCAGATTTATTTGCTTCCAAAAGGATATCCTTTGATTTCAGATGGTCTTTCCAGATTGATATTGTACACCAAGTGCCCATGTATGCTCTAGGTTCTCTAGTTCTTTTCGTCTTTTTGAGACAGGGTCTCTCTGTGCAGATCAGGCTGGCCTTGAGCTCACTTTGTAGCCCAGGCTGGTCTCGAACTCGCAACGGTCCTCCTGCCTCAGCCTCTCTAGTGCTGAGATTACAGGCGTGAGCCACCATGCCCAGTTTAGGTTCTCTATTTCTGAACTGAAGGATTCTGATCCTGTGTTAGTGAAAACTCTAGAGTAGTCCTTAAGTATTCTCGGACAAGACTCTGTGAACTGAGCCTCAATTTTTGCATTAATGACATTTGCTCTGTCAAATTCTACCTTATTGTACAGCAATAAAAAGAGTACTAAAAATGAACTGGGGAAACTGTACATAATTTTTTCTTTTTTGAGACAGGTTCTCATGATGTAGTTCAGGCTGGCCTTGAACTCACTATGGAGCCCAGGCTGGGCTCAAACTCAGGGTAATCCTCCTGTCTCAGCCGCTCAAATGCTGGAGTTACAGACGTGTGCCACCACACACGGTCTTAACTGTCATTCCTCTCCATTCCATGTGGGTACATTCTTGTCATGGGCAGGCTCTGCTTTAGAAGTCATTTATTGGGACCGGGGATTTAGCTCAGTGGCGTAGGCACCTGCCTGGCAAGCACAAAGCCGTGAGTTCAATGGCCAGTATTAATAAGTAAATAAACAAAAAAATTTTAAAAAATGACTAGAAGTCACTTATTGGAAAGGCTCAGGTTGATCACTGACTTAGAGTTGGCTTTGGATTCAGGCAGTCTGGTCCCAATTCCCCGTGCTCAACAGCCAGTGATCTGCGCTCCTGAGGGCTGTTGGTTTTGGAGTGAAACCTCCCCTTTCCAGTGGGGGACCCCACAAGCAGCAAACTGGCTAGGCCTCATGCTGTGCCACTATTAAACCAAGACAGCAAGGCAGGGGAAAGGTCTCCTGCTCAGGCAATCCTGGTCATTTTGTGTCCACCTAAGCCCCCAGGGAGAGCTTTTACCCGCAAGCTGGGGCAGTCTCTTTAGCAGTGCCTGGCACCTCATTGGCATTTGTTTGTCCGAGCACCATAATGGACTTCCAGGGAGGTCAAGTTGTCTCCTTAAAGCCAGGAAAGAGAAGGATGGAGACACAAGGAGCAGGAGGCCGGGAAAGGGCCAGGCCTGGTTCCCAGACCTGGACCAGCCACCTCCAACAATCCAGGCTTTGTTGTCAGTCTGTCCCTGAATTTCCAGTTACCTTTTATCTGTCTCAGCGTCTCTGCCCGCTCCAGCCTCCTCGGAGGTGGAGACGGGAAGCCTGGCCGGGGAGCAGAAGGCAGCGGCCGGCGCGTCCCTCCGCTCCGTTCTCGCTGGCTCGCGGGGATCCGGAGCTGGGGCCCTGCGCCCGGGGGGACGCGCGCAGTGCCAGCCGTCTGCGCGCCGCCCGCAGCCCGCTGCCCGCCTCCCTCGGCGCAGCGCGCGGGGAGGTCACCATGCGCGCCCCACGGCCGCAGGTAGGCAGCGCCCCGGCGGCGGCGGGCGGTCCCGGAATGTGCGAGGGGCGTGAAGACGGCGGCGGCGGCGGCCGCTTTGCGCAACACCTTCGCTATATATAGCCGGGCGGGCGGCAGCTGGCCGCGCGCTACCTGGTGCCGCCTGTGTCCCTTCCCTGGGAAGGTGAGTATGCCGCCCTGCCCTGCTCGCTCCTCCGAGCACCCTGCCTTACTTTTCATGGATTCTCTTCCATCCCCCTGGGTGCCAACCTGAAAGAACTCGGCTGGCCTCGGGGTGCAGAAGAGAAAATGATAAACCTTTCTGACATTCTCAGATTTCTTCCTTATGTCCCTTTGGCTGTTTTGGGTCCTGTTGCTGCTCTTACGTCTGAAGTGTTATTAACCAGCCACTCCTGGGGACTCAAAAAAAAAAGACAGATGTATTTGAGAGCCTAGTGTGAGGAGGAAGGACTGGGGTAGGTAGCAAGTGCCTCAGAGCTGGCCAGCCCTGCTTCCTGGCGGGCCCCTGACAGGAGCCCTGTGACAGGACCATCACTGTCACTTCCTGCCAAGACAGCCCCCGGTGCTGCTGGAGGACTAGATGTGTGCGGCGTGACTGCCACGTGCTAGCAGGCTTGTTTGCAGTTACTTATCGGACTAGTTTGCTCTTCCCATCAGCACAGGTGGCCCTCAGCTGAGGACCTGTCCTGCAGTGGTCCGGGACGGACAGAGTCTACAGCTGTCTGTTTTACAGGCAGAAGGTACCAGGCAAGGAGGCTCTGAGATGTGGGTGGGGTGGATGTGTTGGGAACTAAGAACAACAGACAGGCCAGAAGGGGGACCTTTGTCTCCAGTTGATTCAGGCTCCCTGGCACCCCAGGGAGGAGTCTCAAAGCCTCCCTTTTCCTTGGTGAGGTGGGGACTTTCCCAAGCCTGCTGGTTTCAGGGAGGGAGCTTGTGGGTTGCCCTTCTCTCTCTACTCAGGTTCATCAGGAGGTTTTTGTGTTAGCTCTGATTGCAGGGCCTTGTTTGTCACACTGTCCTGTATTTTTATCCCCTCTTGCTCTGCCTGTTCTTTAACTTGTTCTGTGTTGGGGATTCCTAGAAAAGTGTTCCTTCACAGTGGCTATTGTTTCAAGTTGTTAAAGCCTGACTGAATCCTTTGTCCCGTGCCAGCTGAATGATCTTTTCTCTAGTTTCTATAATCTTGTAAATGGGTGGCAAACAGGGCATCCCATACCTCTCCAAATCATGCAACCATCTCTACTGAAGCAAGTCCAAGTCCCCAGCGGCAGGAAGACCGAGTGTGAATTAATGCTGTTAGATAGGAGAGATTTGGAATAAACTGGATTTCAAAACCATTGCAGCCAGTTCCTCCACTAAAGACCACACCCACCCACCCCCTGCCTCCACTGTGAGCTGGAGGGACCAGGACGGTGACAGGGACAGTATAGGGGTGCAGCCAAGAGCAGGCAGCCATCCCAGGAATTTTCAAGCGGGTCCCTTTTCATCCCCCTAATACCATACAAGACATGGACAGAGTTACAGGTTAATCGCATGGTTTATTTTAAATTCAAACACAAGCTGAAAGTGCAGGATGAGAGCGTGGTTGGTGATGGGGGTCCCAGTTTACAGTGACAGGACAGGTGTCCTAGTATACTTGGGCCTGTGTGAACCGAAGCTGGCAGCATCATGAGGCTGGGTCCGGTTGCTCCTTGACTCTCTCAGTCCCCCCATCTCACTACCATGCCCACGGAGGGCTTAGTTTTCTTTCTGATGGCAAAAGGGAGCTGCTGAAAAGTAGCCATCGCTCAGTTGGGAATTTTTGTAGTCTTGAGGGTCATTCTTACTACTGAGAGCTTTGGGCCATACAACTCTGAAGCATCTCTGAAATTGTAGTGTCCCTGTGGCTGTAAACTGTGAATTTCTTTGTGCCTCAGTTTCTCCTCTTGGCACTGGTGTCCAGGTTGTGCCTGGACAGGCCAAAGTGCCTGTGAGATGGGGTGAGTAGCTCTGTGCACGGGACTTAGCAGTAGGGCCTGGCACTGTGCATTGACTGACTATGGGGCAGACCCTGTCCCGAGAGCTGGGCAATCTAAGGCTGTCCTGCCTAGCCCTGAGGGCCCTAGTGCCAGGCTGGCCTGTCTCTGCAGGGTCAGTGCCTTGCCCTCCCTCTCAGGGGGCCCTGTGGGCGGCCACTGCTCTGAACAGAAAAGTGCAGTCCAGGTCCCGGTTGGAGAAGCCCAAACAATGCAAAGTGCAGAGGTTGGGTGACTTCAAGGAAGAATGAGCCTCCTTTGCACTGGGGACCTGAGCCACTGCAGGAAGTGGAGCAGAGAGTCACAGCCAGCTCAGCAGCAGGGACCCACGGGGGCCAAGGTGGGGGAGAAGGGTTAGTCAGGCCTGGGCCCCGTTTGAGTTGCCAGCCTTCTCCGGGAGATTTCTCCTTCCTGCCATGCTGCTAGCAGGTAGCAAGAAGGTGCTGGTATGTGTGCCAGCCATGGGGACGAGAGGGAGGGAACAGCTGCACCAAGGCCGCAGATGGGTCACAGGGCTCCAGGGACCCCCCACAGGAAGCAGGGTTAGAGTCTGCCATGCCGGGAAGTGACCTCAGATTCCGGCTATGGCCTCCCATCTCCTGGGTTTGGTGCAGACTCCTGTAAGGCTTCATCTGCTGAGTCCAGGCCTTTGGACTGCCTGAGGCCTGGCTAGATTCACAGCCTGTCATTACTGCATTTGTGGCCAGCATTTCCGGTCATCAGGGTGACAACTCAAGGGTCAGCCCTGTGGCCCTGCCCACCCCAACTGTCCCAGAGTCTCCCAGAGCCTAGCCCACGCCTTTTGTCCCCCATGGGTCCAGGGAAGGGGAAGGTGGGGCGCTAGCAAGTTACCCTTCCTCCTCCTTTATCCCTGGTGGTCACCACCCAGGACACTCCCTTATCACAAGACAAACGTAAGCATCTTCCTCTCACATGCTGTGTGTTCCTTTTAATGAACAAATATTTACTGAGAGGAGTGCTTCGGAGGAGGAGGATGAGTCCTATGCAGGGCAAAGGTAGGGCCCAGCCTCTTTCATGGTCCTGATGCAACGCATTTCCAAAGCCTTACATGGTCACAATTCCCTGGAGACGGCAGGGTCGCATTTTTTGAGATGAGGAAACTGAGACTTGAAGAGGCGGGCCTCTGCAGGCCCATCCGCCCTGCTGCTCTTCCTGTCTCCTCGCTGTGTGCCATGCCACACACCGTGGTCCCAGGGGAAGTGGCAGCTCCTGGGACTGCAGGATATTGGTCCTTTTGGGCGGTGGTCATTAGGGACTGAGAATAAGACCTGTGTGCCCAAGCTGAGGAGCGGAGCAGCTGTGTGGCTGCCAGGTGCCCTACATTCCTGATTTCTAGGTGCGGCTGGCGCTTTGGGGGCGGACAGGGTCCAGAGGGCATGGCCCACACTCTGGGAGCCCTCCGCCGGGCCAGATGCCTTTGCTGAATGTCTGCAGAGAGGGGGCAGCTGCGAGGGGGGGGGGCGGCCTGGGCACCCCGCTGAGCGCAGGGGCCTGGAGAAGGCTGGTGGCTGTAGGGGACAGGAAAGTACCTGAACCGGAAGCACCCAGCGCAGAAATCATTGCTTCACTGGGGAAGTGTTTCATAACGCAGAGCTGGGTTCAGAATATGGAAAAGAGAGACTTCTGGGAAGTCAGAACATTCATTGGAAATGCCTTTGCTTTTTGGTGGCAGTGACTTCATAGTGAAGGAAGCCAGCACTGGTCGCAGGCAGAGGTGTGGAAGGTGCTGGGTGGTCACATTCAGAGTCAAAACGTTCTGGTCTTTTCTGGTCTCCTCTGTGCCTGTGGTTTGTGGCATTATTTACTGGACCACGAGTGCGCCTGCTTCTGTATTCAGGAAGTGCCTCTTGGTTTGAGTGTTAAGAAAAAAGGAATCTCAGCATTTGCAGAAAATATAATTTAAACAGCAGGCAGGTAACTGTGCTCTTTAGACTTCACTGCTGTGGAAGTTTCCAGGGGCCTCCGCAGATTTGCTCCATCCGACCTACTGCGTGAGTGACAGGGACAGCCACCTATCAGGAGGAGTCGGATGGTTTTTTGGTTCTGATCATCGCGGACCAAGTGCATTTGTTCCTGGAACTCTCTATGTGAACCTCATGAAAGATGAAAAGTGCCTGCTCTGTGGCGTGGAAAGAAACATAGCAGGTGGTTTCTGCCCTCTCAGCTCTAGAAGGCAGTAGATAGACATGCTAAGAGAAAGGGACCCTCAAGCCTAAAATTCAAAGAGGAAAAAAGTGTGGGGAATCCTAATTAAAAATTTCCCACAAATTGCCTCCAAGAGCAGAGAGACCTTTGCGGGTGGTGGGTAACCTTAGCTTTGTGTGTGTTTGTGCCCTGCTTGTCTTTTCTCCTTTGAGGGTGAGGCAGGGTCTCTATGCCATCCAGGCTGCACCAAGCTCAGGCTGGTCTTGAACTCTGGATCCTCCTCTCTCAGGCTCCCAAGCTGTGCCCAGCTAATAATCTTCAGTGATCCTTCATGAAATTCCTTGTCCTTGTTTTATGTATGGGGAGACTGAGATGGGGCGGTTCCGATACGAAACTGGAATTGGAACCTACGAGCTGGGATCTAAAAGTCCAGTTCCTTGACCTTTGGAATGGTAGTGCGCAGCCCCAAAGCGAGTGTTGGCAGGGTCTGGGGACATTTGCTTTTTGATTGTCAAGCTGGGTGTGGGGAAGGGGCTCGCAGAATCTCAGTGCTGTCAAGGTGGGGACCATCAACCTGTGAGACTAACATTTCTTTCCCCAATTCTATCAGTAATGTCCTAGTTGGGGGAAAGATAAGTCAAGTCACGCAGATGTTACACCGAGCATGCTGTCTCTCTGACAGGTAGAGCTGGTGCTGGCTCTCTCTGTCTCTCTGTCCAGCTGTGGTCTCTGCCTCTCTCTTCCCGCCTTTCTCCCTCTCCTCCCTCCCCTCACCACTCCTCTGGGCAGCTTTGTAGGACTTTCTCTTGCCCGCTCTGGGCTCCTTTTGCAGTGGTGTGATCATGGCCCCTGTCTTGATACCGTATGTCAAGCCCCAGTGTGGCCCTGCCAGCTCTTTGGTGCTCATTGGATGGCAGTAATTCCTATGACTCAGTTACAAGCTGCACGGTGGTGTGTGATGCGGTGCTAGGTGGTCAGTAGGTAGCAAATAGATGCTAGGAGCATGGAGAAGATCAGGTTAGAGACAGACAGCTGGAGACTCAGCACAGGTGGGGGCCTGAGGGGAGCCGCTGGGGGTAGCAGTGAGAGGTGAGTAGGGCCGGGTAGCAGGCACCACCTGTACTGGCACAGAGGCAGGACTCTGGGGTCTCAGGGTCCCACTTTAGGGAAGTGGGACTCGAGCCATTTGGGGAGCAGTGAGTGACAGATTGGAGAGACCGATGAGCAAGCATTGAATCATCAGGCATGTGGGGCCAGGCCAGGCAGACTGCTGCTGCTGGGTCTGTGGTCCTAGTCCCTGTGTGAGGAGGGGCCATCAGAGATGACTTTGAGAATCAGGGATGCTAGTGGCAGGAGTCACAAATAGGTCAGGAAGTGGTGGAGGGTGACAAAGTCTGAATCCATGCAGTGGCTGCTGCAGCTGGCCATATGGCCTGCCTGTTCTGTGTACAAAACTGGACTCTGGCTCTGTTCTCCATTGGTCCTGGAGCATCTTCCCCGCTTGCTGGCTAGAGGGGCTCTAATCAGTCCACTGGCTGGACACTTCCTGCCACTGACTGATTTACTGATTGGCTAACCTTCTCCTTTAGGTGTCTGCACACCTCAGGGTGGGCAGTGATGGAGAGGTGAGCAGAGACTCTGGGGCAGTCACACCAGGGCTGTGACCCCGGGCTAAGCACTTCACCCCTCTGAGAGCCTCCATCTTCTCTTCCCTAAACTGTAAATGACAGAGCAGCATATGTGTGTCTTTTTCGGTCTCCATTACATTCACTCTCGGTAAACTTACACTGCGCACCATCGATTTGCCAGGCAGAGCTTTGTTTGGGTCCTGAGACGCAAATATGTGAGTGCTTGAATTCTGGTAGGAAGGGAAATAGATTGATTTCAGAAAAAGGAAAGGCATCAGACCAATCTGGAGGGGTCTGGGGAACTCTTGATGGAAGCAATCAGAACAAGACAGCTCTGTGCTTCCTGAGAGCAAATATCCCTAGGTTCCTGACTCCTGGAAGAGAAAGGACTGGCCAAACGCCCACCGTTTCTCTGAGCTGTCATCTGAGGAGCCCGTGCTCCTCTCACGATGTGGTCTCCAGGAGGGTGGAGGAAACCTAAAAAGAATTGTGCCGCTTTGATAGTTATTTATTCCTGCATATCTTTCTAACAAGAGTGAATGCTTAGTTTTTAGTAAGATTTTTAGGTATTTGTTCTTTCTTTGCCATGGAACTAAGTCACTCTGGTCCATTCTTTGGATTGTGCTGTCTGATCTGTGTCAGAAGACGAGGGGCGCAGGGGTGCACGCCCAGAGTGCCAGGAGCCATTCCCCCAGGATGACTGTGGAGAGAGCATTCCCAGGCCATGGAGGGCTGCAGACAGCGAGGTTCTGATAAGTGCCAGTCATCAGAGTGATCGGAAGCCTGCACCACACCGGGCAGGTTCCAGACCTTTAGCTGCACATTAACTTCTCAATGGAAACTGATGGAAACTGATGCTTTCTGCCTAGAGGCCTTGCTAATGAGTGCTAGACAGGGCTGGAGTCAGGTCTGGGGTGTCACTTTCACAGAAGACCCACATGGTGGGTGACACGGGGTGCACATGTGTGAGGGTGTGGGTCACACATCCATTAAGTCACACATTCATTGAGTCCCGGCTTCGCCTGTGTGTACATCCAAGGTCGCTCTTACTCTGTCATGGGAGTCTGATAGGGTCATGAGGACCCCAAACACCACAACATGATGCAGAGGAAGGATGTGCACCCCACTTCTAACCAATGCAAGAATCAACACACAGACACACACCCACAGACACATACACAAGTGAGAGACATCAAAGGAGGCATGACTTACCTGGGTTTGAGGCCAAAATGGATAAACACTGTAGGATACGGGACTTCAGGACAGCCTAGGTGGGGTTGCAGGATGACAGGGGCAGGGGACAGGGCCCTCCAGCCTCCACTCTTGGAATGTCTGAGCATGCCACTCTCCCCTTCCTTCCTCCCTCCCGAGGGAGGCTTCTTTTATCGGGAACAATTGACAGCACCTCCTCTGACCACTGCTTCTCTAATCTGTCTTTCCACCCACAGACCATGGCTCCTTGGCCGGAGGTGGAAAACGCCCAGCCTGATCCTGAGAAATACATCGAACAGGGCATAGCTCAGCAGCCCGGCACAGATGCCAAAGGCAAAGACTCGGACCACAGTAAGTGCTGCTCAGGGGTTTGAGGGCATTGCAAAGCTGCAGAGAGATCTACCAAACTAAACTCTGCGTGGTCTTTGCTGCTTCTTTGAGCAGATGCCAATGGCACTCCAGTGGCCAAGGCTGAGCTGCTGCCCTCCTACTCCACCGTGGCACTGATAGAGGAGCCCACCCAGCTAGAAGACCCCTGGGACCTGCCGGAGCTCCGGGACACTGGCATCAAGTGGTCAGGTAAACTCCAGGCCACCGGGCCTCAGGAGGGAACTTGCCTTGTGTGCACTGTTACCCTCTTGGGGTCACTCTCTCCGTTCATTGTTTTGCCTCCTTGAGAGGCAGGGTCCTGGCTAGGGAGGCCTCCTCAGTAGGAGGGTTGGTGTCAGAGCACATCGGCGATTGGAGGATCTTACTTTCAATCAAATGTTGAGGCAGTGGGTGTAACCAGAACGGTCTCTTCCTTGTAATTCACTGCCTGCTGACCAGGCTCTGTATTATGTATTATGGAGTGTGTTGTGGACACAGCCATAGGCAGATGAGGTCTGGGCTCCAGAAGGCAGAGAAGGCACAGCCTTTCCAAACAGGGTGTGAGGTCCAGAGGGCCAGATGGGTTGATGGGCAGGAAGGAGGCGGGCAAGGAGCTGGGAGGGAGGTGAGGACTACTTTAATAAAAGTTAGTTGGGAAAGCTGCAGTGAAGGGCAGAGGCATGCACTGCTGGATGAGGAACCCAAGCCCTGCAAATCGAGGCTGTAGTTGTTACCGAGAGGCCCCATCTAGGAAATATTCAGTGCCCTTCTGAAGGTGCTTGGCACAACAGTTATCTCTGACCTGCACTTAGCAGGCAGCATTGTGGTTCAGCTGAGTGTGGCGCCTGGTCTGTCTGTCTGGACCCCAGAACCCTTTCTCCCAAATGCACATCTATTTGGGTGGGTTCCAGGGAATGGACTTCAGGGGCAGCTCCTTTGAAAGCAGCAGCGGTGTATGCGCTCCATCTCCAGGCTTGCGGAATCTAAGAGCCCAGCACAGCTGGGCAGGGGAGGAGGTGGGAAGCTCTGGTGAGCCCCTGTTGAAATTCTCAGAAATGTCAGTTGCAGGTACTAACGACCTTGTGCCCTCTTACCCACCTCTCTGCAGAGAGAGATACCAAAGGGAAGATTCTCTGCATCTTCCGCGGTCTTGGAAAGTGCATCTTGCTCCTGGGATTCCTCTACTTGTTTGTGTGCTCCCTGGATGTCCTCAGCAGTGCCTTCCAGCTGGTTGGAGGTAGGGAGGGGACAGGCTCTGGGGACAGCATGCGGGTGCTGTGGTCGCATTTGGCTCATGCAGTGGCAGTGACTCACGGTCCTTTGGAGCTGCAGCCCTCAGTGACTCGGGGCTAAGGTCTCCTTCCCGTCACTATGCCCCGCATTGTATAGAGGAGAAACTGAGGCCTGAAGCAGGTGATGGCTTGCTCGGGTGGCTTAGGCCAGGAGCTGGGAACAGAGCCGGATCCCAGCTATCAGCCTAAGCCTTTGTTTACAGACCCCCAGGCAGGAAGCTGTCCCACCTCCAGACTTATCTGAGGGCTCCCTGCTGTCTCTTCACCTCTCTGCTCCAAGATTATAGATTGGGAAAGAATGTTCTCTTAGGCCAAAGCAAGAAGGAAAGATCAAAGCCAGGCCGCTGGGGAAGGCAGGGGTCCCTGCTGGGGAATCTGTACCCCCAGCACATATTTCCCAGAACTGAGTGTGGAAGACCCAGAAAGGAGCTGATTCCATGGATACTGGCAGAACTGGCCTGGGGAGACCTCTGCATTCGTTGGGTGTCACCTAGCTACCTTTTGTCACATGGACCTTGACTTGCCTTTCAGGAAAGGTGGCCGGGCAGTTTTTCAGCAACAACTCCATTTTGTCCAACCCTGTGGCGGGACTGGTGATTGGGGTGCTGGTGACCGTCATGGTACAGAGTTCTAGTACCTCTTCATCCATCGTCGTGAGCATGGTGGCCTCCTCCTGTGAGTCTGGGCACCGAGGGCACACATGTATTGGGCACTCTGTCCATCTAGGGGACCTCGATCTTACTCAACATTCCCAGACCTTGTCACCTTTCTTCCCATCCTGTCCAGCCGTGGTACCCGTAGATTCTGCTCTCAATCCCGTTTCTGTTTGGATGACTAAGCATGAAAATAGTCTCCATCCCTCAGTGACTCTGCTCTGGAATCTCCCACAGCTGCCCAGTTTAAAGGCCATTAACCACATGTGGCTATTAAATTTCATTTTAACCTCACTGATTTAAGTTTAAAACATAAAATTCAGTTCTTCTGGTCACAGTGGCTACATTTTAAGGGCCAAGTAGCCATATGAGATTGGCACTCAGGCATTGCATAGTACCTAGAGAAATGTCTATCAGTTTAGTAACTGGCCTCGGACAGGGCCAGTCTGAGTGCCAGCCACGAAGATGCCTATCACATCACACATGCATTCCAGACACCTGGGTTTGGGGAGTGATCTTTCCAAACTTGCCTCTGTCTGTTACTTGTTTTAATTAGGGACAGGCCTTCTGGGGGTGGGGAGAGAGGTCACTTTGAACTGACTTATCTTTAGCCCAAACCAGCATTTCAGTCAAAGTAAACTGAAATTTTTCTGGGGCAAGTTAGAAAAAGATTAGTTCTTCAAAGCTTGTTACTTTCTTTTGTTTTTCTCCACCTTGGTACTGGGGATTGAGTCCAGGCCTTTTGCACTGAACTAAAACATCTCCAGACCTTTTAAAAATGTTTTTTGTTTTGAGATGGGGTCTTGCTAAGTTTAAGCTAGACTTCTGTTTCTCCTGCCTCACCCTCCCAAAGTGCTGGGATTACAGCCCTGAGCCACCATGCCTGGCTAAAGAGTGTTAGTTTCATATGTTAGAACATGGTGGCAGCCCCTTAATTTTGTTAGCAAAAGTAATGATACTGCTAGGAATTTGTCTTATAATACTCCAGAAGGTGGAAGTCTGGCTAGTGGACAATGCCCCCTTAAATAGGGAACTCAGTGTGGCCGTGTTCAATGGATGCTCAAGTGCTAGCTGTGACCCTTAAGACTTTCCCACCTACATCTGATTCCTTGGCTCCTACACCCTCGCCATGCATCTATAATAGAGGAGAACACTACCAAAAGCAATTTATAATTAAAAAAAATTTTTTTTCAGAAAGCTAGGACTCCAAGGGTTCCCCAAGATTATGTGCAGGATTATGTGATGGTTGAACATGTAGAGCTCCAGGCATCCCCAGCTGTCCTCGGCTGCAGAGTGATGCACATGACCCCGTAGGGGTTAGGACCTGCTGCTTTAGGGCATCAGTAGCAGGAGTGAGTTGGGCAGGCCGTGGGCCCTGTCAGAACCTGCCTCTCCGCCGAGCTCCCTAATGGCCCTTTCTCCCATTGCAGTGTTGACTGTGCGGGCTGCCATCCCCATCATCATGGGGGCCAACATCGGGACCTCCATCACCAACACCCTGGTGGCGCTCATGCAGGCAGGAGATCGGAATGAGTTCAGAAGGTAGGAAGGAGGCTTGGGACCGGCTGTTTGGGTCATGGCCAGGCTCATCCCTGGAGCCTCTGGAAGTGGCCACAAAGGAGGCTGGGCAAGGCTGGGGCTCACACCTTTCCCAGGTGATGGAGCTCTGCTCCCTGGTCTGCACTGACTGCTGGGATAATAACAGCGTCTGCCACCACCATGTTATTTTAGTGATTAGACAGTCACACAGGCAAGTGTTTAGCAAGTCCCTGGCATCTAGACAGGGCCCGCTAACCACGAGCTCAAGCTGGAAACTTAGCCACTGAGTGGCAGGGTTGGAACAAGCTGAGGAAGGGTAGGATTTACCTTCCTGCCTAGTCATAAGTAATTACAACTTCAGGAATCCCCTCTCTCTAGTTTTTGGTCAGCTTTACCTACCTGTACTACTTTTTTTCTTCACTCACACATCACTAAAAGGCAAGATGTTTTTTGGTTCTGCAGACAGCTGGTTGAGGGGAACTCTTTTCTTCTAAAAAGGTAAAAATGATGTACATTTCCAGCTTTTCTTCTAATGGGCAATGGATTTCCCCCAGCATTTATGAAAATATAGAAGCACTCCCCGCCTGTCTCTGGGATGCACTGTCGGGTGGTGTGGTCAGGCTGCTGACATTCCAACTGGCCAGCTGGGAGATGGCCAGCATCATCCCTGTCTGCTTTTGAACAGTGGATGTTCGTGGATGACAGGGCAGCCACTCGTCCCAAGCTACCCTGTCTGGTTCCTGATGAAATGCCCAGATGACCATAATAATGGACATTAAATGGGGTGTCTTCTAATTTGACCTCACAAAACCAAGTAGGCTTTTCTATACCTTGTTTTTATTCATGTCAAAACTCAAACTTGAGGAAGATGCTGCTGGGATGCAGTCCAGGTTTTTGTGCTTGAGATTTTGAGTGTTTTATACTGATACACAAATATTTGCTTCTGAGTAACCTGTGAAGTGGAAATTTAAGGTCATATAGGAATCTCTAATTGAGTCAGCTTATCCCATCTTTGGGATATTTCAGTATGTTTTTAATAACATCATTCAATACTGCCTTGGGGTATATATCTTTCCTAGTGGTTTAGATAACTTTCTTACATTCTTAAGATAATAATTACTGTCTCAAACATTTGTAAGGTTCTTAAAACATTTTTCCAAACTACTAGGAAGTCTTTGAATCACTTTACACCACATCAGCAGTGTATGAAAATGTCTTTTTTTTTTTTTTTAATTTTTTATTTAAAGAAAAGGAAACAAAAGAATACATGGAGATTTTAAAAAAGGGTAGAAATGATACAAACTTACAGAAAAACAAACGGTAAGAAATTGCTGGTTGATAAGTTACACATTGTCATCTTAGAAGTAGCTGTTCATGTTATGGAATTAAAGCATTTAGAATGACATTCATAAAGTGACACTACAAACCCTTCTGCTCCATGATCGAACAAGAGCTCAGTAACATGGTTATCAGTCCTACACATTTGTTTTACTTCTCAAAGAGGGTAAGATTAAACATATCAAAACAGAACATAGCAGTTAAAAAAACAATTTAAAGAAATACAGATTTCATAGGAAGCCCACTGGAGATCTTGATTGTCTATCTAACTGTCTCTAGTTTTTTACAAATAGTTGTCCCCTTCTTCATCCACCTTATATACTTAGTGTATATTATAGAACTAATCAAATCATTGAAGACTTTTTAGGTCCTCAAGTACCAAATTAGGGAAGACAATAGTAACTACCAACTCATCTCTCCTTCTCTTTGTGATAGCTGTCCCCATCTCTACATATGCTGAAATTGAACTCAAGAAACCAGTCCAATGTCATTCTAATCAGCAAACATTAGTATTGCTAGAATTTCTATCATAATGCTACTAAATTAGCCTCGAGTTTCCTAGTGTCTCTTCCTCAGAGTATCTGTTCATTACATCTTACATTATATAATCTGTTCCCATAAATACTTAAAAAGAAAAAAAGAACCCATGTGTGAATTTCTACATATATATCTATCCTCTCTGTGTTATAGGGAATACCAAGTCATAGCAAGCCAGCAAAACAATTTCCTAGAAAAACATGCAATGGATAAAACATTTAAGACCACAATATAGATGATCTTCCATAGTTACTATGTTTCCTCTTGTTATTTTCAATAGGTTTGACCACCACACTGGCTTATTATAGTTAAATATAGTATCACCTATTTTTATAAAAACTTAACTTTGGCAGCATTGTAGGGTTTGGAAGCTGTTACTAATTAATACCAGTATGGATATTCTTTACAACTTGTCATCCTCAGAGTAGTTGCCTCTACTTTTAGGGTTGATACTGACAAGCATACCAATTTCAAATAAAATCAGCCATGGCCAACCCATAGTCTTACGATTCAGATTCAATTAAGATCAGTCATAGTAAGACAATGTAAGTATTATAGGATTTCAGTTTAAGTTAATAGGAAAGTAAGGATAGTTACCATGGTATAGCCTGCTATTTTTGGGTCAAGATGTCTGTGTCCTCAAATCTGACATGAGCGGACAGACCAGAACAAATTAAATTCAATCTAAATATGGCACTAGGGCTACTGTGTCTTTTAAATCATTATACACCATTAGCAATGACCTCTGCTTTTTTTTTTTTTAAATATAGTTTCAGAGCTGTCTATACTAAAGACTAGCTTACCGTCCCTGCCTCATGTCTGCTACTCCACTTTTCTGCTATAATTTGTCCACCTTATTCCCTCATTCCATTGTCTGCCCCATTCACTGAGGCCTCTCTGCCACTGTTGCTGGAATCCTGGTATCTCTTCCTCTCTTTCTCTGTAATGTCCTTCAGCACTCTCTGTAGGGTTGGATTGGTGGCCACGAACTCCCACAGTTCCTCCTTGTCTTGAAAGTATCTTATTTCTTCATTAATTTTTAGAGAGAGTTTTGATGGATATATGAACTTTGGTTGCATATTTTTTTCTTTCAGGACTTGGAATATTTCTCCCCACTCCCTTCTTGACTTAAGAGTTTGTGTTGATAAGTCTGCTGTTATTTTGATAGATTTCCCATTATAGGTAACCTGCATCTTTTCTCTGGCTGCTTTTAATATTCTGTTTTTTTGGTGGATTTCTGGGATCTCGATTATTATATGTCTAGGCGTAGATCTGTTTTGGTTGTAGGTAGCTGGTGTTCTGTATGCTTCTTTTATCTGGATATCATTTCTTTTTGCTATACATGGGAAATTTTGCTTTAATATCTCTGTGAATATTTTTTGTATTTCATTTTTGGATGTTCCTGCTTCCTCACTCACATTCTTTATTCTTAGGTTATGTATCTTTTTGTCATCTTCCAGTTTTAGAATTGCTTCTTTCTGGTTCCTTGTTATTTTTAAGAGGCTTTTTCTTTCACGTTCATATGTCCTAAATCTCTCTTCAAGTTTCAGAAGGCTATCTTTAGTTTCTGTCAAGGCATTTTGCCAATGTTCAATGGAGTTTTTAGTTTCCTGATATTCTCTTTGGATCTGTTTCATGTATTCTAGGTTACGCTTAAATTCTTCTTCTGATTTCCTCAGTTCTTCCATCTGTGTTCTCTTGGGCGGGGCTTGTCATTTCTTTAATTAATCTCTTTATATCTTGCCTCACTTGGATCAGGAGTACAGCTTTAAATTCCTCTATGAGATCATGTAGGTACTTTTTAATTTCAGCTGATGCTGTGTCGAGTAGTGGATGGTTACTGTGCTTGTTCTCTTCGGTGTTTACTTCTCCTGGGCTTATTTTCTCCTGTTGGGCAGCTGGAGATTTTTTTTTATTTTTATCTCTTGTCATGTTTCTGGTTTCTTTCAGACTGTCCTGGAGTTCTCTGGCCCTCTCCGAATTGCTTAGGCCCTTTCAGAAGCGTGCTGGCTTGAGTTTTTGCTGTCCTCCCCAATTTACTGTTATCTGGGGTAGACTGGGCTGCAGGGGCAGTACAGGCTAGTCTCTAGCCTCTGTGCCAGTTAGTTCCTAAATTAGGCTGTACTTTCTGGTTGTCACTGAGTTGTGACTATTTTGTATCCGCTTATTGGGCCCCAAGCAGAGGCTTGGGTTAGCCCCAGTATCTCCTGCCAGTTCTCTTTGTACCAGAAGCAGCTGACTAATGTCACTATGGCACAGGGTCCTGCCCAAATCTCAGCTGTTCTCTTCCAGACCTCTCTGTGTCAGGAGCACCAGCACAGCAGAACTGCCCAAACTCTGTATGAGGCTGAAGCCAACACGTACTCAGGCTCTGCCCAATTCCAAGATGCCTTCCACTAGCCCTCCCTACAGGGGGCTCAGTGACGCCACTGAGCTGTAGGTTCTGCCCAACTGTAAAATGGCTGCCACTAGACTCTGTGTTATTGATGTCCCCGTGGTGGCGGGCACTGTCCCGTTCCAAGATGTTCTCTGGCCAACCCCGGCAGTCGCAGGGTCTCTAGTACTCACCAGGGTCCACGCCGCCCACCTTTCCCACGTTCCCAGCACAGCACTGATCGGTCAGAGATCCTCGCAGCGTGTACTCCCGGTACAGCACAGAATGGTCAGAAATCTGCGCAGCGCCTGGTACAGTGCGGAGTGGTCAGAAATCCGCGCTGCGTACATTCCCGGTACAGGGTGGAACGGTCAGGAATCCGAGCTGCGTGCACTCCCGGCTCAGTGCGGAACCGTCGGAAACCCATGCGGCGTGCACTCGCGGCCCGGCGCGGAGCAGTCAGAAATCCGCGCTGCGTGCACTCCCTGTACGGCGTGGAGGGGTCAGAGATCCGCGCTGCGTGCAGCCCCGACTCAGTATGAAAATGTCTTGAATCACCTTCTCCAGGAAGAATAAGAATACTTTTAAAATATTAGCTAATACAAAAAATAGGTGGAATAGCTAATAGTGAAAATCTGCACTTGAAAATCAATTTCTTTTATTACTAGTGAAACTATATGTTTCTCCACATGATAATTTGCCTTCTATCTGTTTGTCTCCCACGTTCCATTTGGTTTGGGGTGCTTTCTGACCTGTAGTGTTCTTTAAAGGAAAATGTAAAGTGGAGAAAGGATGGAATTCAGGAAGAGTCTTTGGACCTTGTGAATCGATGCAAAGGGTGACAAACAGCAGCCTTGTTTCCTGTGGAGACTTCATGTGCTTCACCAGACTTGGGATTTTTATTTTAAAAAGATTAAGAATCATTTAGGAAGAGCGCTTGGTTACCTGCCTACTGATCTCCACCTTTCCAGGAGAAAGGTGTATGAGATTCCAAAGTCGTCTTGATGCAGATTTTGTGAACAAAGGTTGTTGAGAGAGAATTACTCCAGCCTGAACTCGCTGGCCGCCCTCACTTGGCTCAGCTGCCAACGGGAACGTTAATGCCCAGGATTGCTGTGAGGACAGGGAGGAGTGTACCTCTACATGTACACAGATGGGTGACAATGAAGAGCCTGAAGACGCCACTCACCCACTGACCTGGCTGTTGGGTTTTCCTCCCTAGAGCTTTCGCGGGGGCCACTGTCCATGACTTCTTCAACTGGCTGTCCGTCTTTGTTCTGCTGCCCCTGGAGGCCGTCTCCCACTACCTGGAGAGACTGACTGGGCTTGTGGTGGACACCTTCAACTTCCAAAATGGAGAAGAGGCCCCAGCACTTCTGAAGGTCATCACAGACCCGTTCACGAAGCTCATTGTCCAGGTAAGCACCCCCAGCCTCCCCACCAGGCCAGTGCATGTGAGTCTATGTGCATGGCGATACAGTGGGTGGGGGGGCTGCCTCTACAGGACAGTCAGGAGAGAACTTCCATTCTGTGTGCTACTGCGGATCAAAGCCAGGGCCCCCACATGCTAGGCAAGCGCTGCACACTGAACTGCAGCCCCAGCCCAGGCTTGATGACACAAATCTCCTTCAGTATTTCTTGACAACAACATGTGATACCTTTTGGGGTGTGGGGGTGAGGTGAGGGCCTCGTACCTGACTATATTATTGAAAGGAAGGAGGCTCTGTGGAGGTTGCTGTGGGGCGAACAGACCAGCTGGGACCTTGAACTTTCACTCTTCCTTCTGGTTTTCACTGCCCTCTGATAAGCCGGTGAGTAGCGGCAGCCTGCTACCCGGAGACTAGGGCCCTTGTTTGTGCAAACATTTCTTCCTGTGCTGAAGCCCTGCTAATGTCCTAGGCTATCCAGCACTGCTCCCTGAGGTGCTAGCAGTGAGTTCCAGATGATGCCTGGAGGGGGCTCAAGGACATAGTCATCTTCCCAGAGGCCCTTTAGTGGCAACCGCCCACTGACATCTTTGTCTTGAAGATGCACTTTCTGACCATCTTCATTGCCTTTCTCAGCTGGACAAAAAAATTATCCAACAAATCGCAATGAATGATCCAGGGGCCCAAAACAAGAGCCTGATCAAGGTTTGGTGCAAGTCCATTACCACTCAGGTAAGTTTCCAAGAATGCTGCACCATGGGCGACTCCTGGAATCTAAACCCTAACTCACCGTGGCAAAGAGAAAATGGGGGTGGGGGGGGAGCATGGAGGCTCCTGGAAAATCAAAACTGGCCAGTGAGATTCCTTTTGGAAACAAGTCCTTGAGTTCTGGCTGGGTTTAGGCGGTAGGACCCTGCCATACCGCAGACACGTTATTTCTGGCACCTTGCTATTCATGTGTCTCCCAGAGAAGACACATCCCTGGCTGTTCATCTGCCCATTTTTGGAAGGTCCCCAGATTGTGTATCACACTGTACAGGTTCTGGCAGTAGGTGGCACTTTCCAGACTCTTCCAGAATGTTCCTCTCAGAAAGCCCACAGGTTTCTGCTCTCCTACGTGGAGAACTTAACCCAGCCTGCTGTGTGGTTGGGTAAGGGTCCCCCTTGCCTCCCCGGTATATGTGATCTTTTGTGTCTTTTGGGGTGCTGAATGCTTGAGGCTGAAGTACAAGAACTAGATGTTTCTAAATGGCTCTGGCTGATTTCATTTGTCCCAGTTATTCCAAGAGCACCATAAAGATGGACAAGTCCCACAGAGAGGAAAGGGAGGTTAGGGAGGTGATCAGAGACACTCCATTGTCTGCTCTGCCCCTTACCCACTTGCCTTCCCATCTCCAGTCCGTGTAATGGACACTTTCCGTGTTTGCCATTTAGATTCAGAAGAATGTCACTGTTCCCTCGCCTGAGAACTGCACCTCCTCTTTACTGTGTTGGACGAATGGTACCCACACCTGGACCTTGAAGAACGAGACCATCCGGAAGGGCACTGTTAAGTGTGAGTGAGACTCATTATGCCCATCAGTGGGCTGGGCCATCTGGAGACACAAGGGGGGCCCTTAAGGGGAAGGAAAGAAGGCCCCAAGAGTCTCCAGACACCTTAGGCATGGAGCACTCTGCTGCCACGCAGAGGAAGGTGAGGTGACAGGCCCAAGGTTTCATGGAAAGGAGCAGAAGTGGGGCTTGAAGCCCGTCCTCCACCATGGGAGTGCATCCAATTCTAGGTGCTCCCGCCAGGTCACTGACTCTGACTCTGGGGGGGTGACAGCTAGTTGGGAGGATGATGTGAAGACCATAAACGTATTTTCCATGGGCCCCGTGAATGAGGCAGGAGCTCTGGTTTTCATCTTTTCTTCTCTGTCTCCTTTTTGCAGTGTTAGGGATTGAACTCAGAGCGCCACAGATGCCCCAGGCAAGCACTCTACCACAGAGTCACAGTCTCAGCTATTTTTTTTTTAAATTTTGAGACAGGGTCTCACTAAGTTGCCTAGATAGGCCTTGACCTTGGCCTCCCAAGTAGTCAGTTTATAGGTGTGAACCGCATACTCACATGCCTAATTCTTTTAATAAGCTGTCATATCAGTCCTGCAGTCTTTTCCAACTCGCATATACTTCCTTAGCAAATCTAATTACACCTCATACACCCTTCTGCATATCTTTGCTTCTCCTTTGGGCCTGCCGACAGTAACTCTGAGCAGCTTGTCTGGATAATCACAGATGTATTCCCCTACACACACACACACACACACACACACACACACACACACACACACGGCACACATGCACACATACATGAACTTACTAGCTATAGTGGTCAAGTGCTGTGCATCCATCAATCTTAACTGTGCTTTGCTGGAATCAGCACAGGAGCATAGCAGGACATTGACAACAAGGCTTACAGTGGCAGTGGCTCCAGAGCTCTGGCATCTTTGTTCTGAGTTCCAGAAGTGGAAAGCAGCATAGGTGGACACAACAGCCCGTCTATGTGTGCTTAGCTATGTGACTTGGAGAACCTTACTTCATCTGCCAGGCTCAGAAGTGCCTACTGGCCCCAGCCAAGCTTCTCCCAGGGCCATGTTTAGCTGCAAAGGAGGCTGGGAAGGGCCAGTTTCATTTCGAGCTGCCAATTACTGAACATCCACTGACTGAGATCTTATTCCTAGGAAGAGAAGGGTATTGGGGGAGATCTGAAGCTGGGGCCTCCTTGTTCTCCTGACCAGGCTGTCCATGTCTCTTCAGGTCAGCACATCTTTGCAAACTTCGACCTCCCAGACCTTGCTGTGGGCATCATCCTGCTTGTCCTCTCCCTGCTGGTCCTCTGTGGCTGCCTGATCATAATCGTCAAGCTCTTGAGCTCTGTGCTCAAGGGCCAGGTGGCTACCATCATCAAAAAGACCATCAATACTGGTAGGTGTCCTCCCACCCCCGTTTGGCCTACTAGGGATCCCAAGGCATCCTTTGATTTCTGTCTTTCAAATGGGTCTCTCTTGGAGATTCTCTCTCTTGGAGCTGCTAAGCTGTGGAAGTTAAGATGCCATTTTCCTAGGAATTCTGTGTCCTGGGGAGCAGATACAATCTTCCATTGAAGGTCAGCAAGGCCCACAAGAGGAGCCATGAGTAGGGCTTTTCCTCCTGCAGGTTTTATTTACATGCCCAGGGCTGTCCTGGGTCTAACAGGAGCCCTCAGGCAATAGGCTAGGCTAATGGAAATGTACCCTCAGCCCCAGTAACCTTCTGTCTCAAGGAAATGTGGTTCTAGGTAAATACACCCCTGCCCCTGGCAGTCAGTGAGACTCCACTGGCCAACAGGAACTCCTGCCCAGTAGAGCCTCCTGGCCCATGAGCACTTACCAAGCAATGGTATCACATCCCTGAAATTCATGAAATGCAGCCAGGACATCTGTGTCCCCAGGCTGCCCCAAGAGCAAGCCAAGTGACTGGGTGCTGGCCAGGCACACAGTGCCTGATCCAGCCGAGCAGGTGGGGTGAGGGCTGGGGTTCGAGGTGTTGCTGAAAGCCACTGCATTTTCTCCATGCTTGGTCAGGTGGAAACAGAGGTACAAGGTGTGAATGGGGAACCAGGGCAAGGAGGAGGAGTGAGGTCTAGGTGCCCCAAGTGCCTTGAGGGCAGAGGGTAATTTATTGAGTGGGCTCAGATATTCCTAATCCAACCTTCCAGCATCTATTTTGGTTTGCTTTGGTTTCACTTGGGTAAAAGACTGGAGAATGAAAATCTCAGTCCACACACAGGCACTAACTCATCTTCTAGCCCAGCCCAGCCCACCAGGGACCTAAGCAGGTGGTACAAAAGGCCTTCTCCCTCTGTCCTGCAGACTTCCCTTTCCCCTTTTCCTGGGTGACCGGCTACCTGGCCATCCTCGTGGGGGCCGGCATGACCTTCATCGTGCAGAGCAGCTCCGTGTTCACTTCTGCCCTGACCCCGCTGATTGGTGAGTTTCTCCCTGGCTTCTTGGGCCGCTGCTGCCATTTCCTGCCATTTCTGGACCAATGCCCTGTGCTCCGTGGTTCTCTCCCTGTCTCCAGGCATCGGCGTGATAAGCATTGAGAGGGCATATCCACTCACGCTGGGCTCCAACATCGGCACCACCACCACGGCCATCATGGCCGCCTTGGCCAGCCCAGGCAACACCTTGATAAGCTCAATTCAGGTCAGGAGCTGGGGCTGGGCCAGGGAGCTGGGGGGCCGGGGGACTAGGGGATTCAAGGGGTGGGATGTAGCTCCATTCATGGCCTTGAAAACTGGCTTCTAAGAGCCAGGCTTTCAGTTAAGTCCAGAAGATTGAACTGAGATGTACCATCTCAGGGGCAAGCCACAGGAGATGGAATTGCGTAGCTCAGCCAACGCTGTCTGGTTCTTAGAGTGGTAGCAGGACTCCTGTTATTGGTGGGCACGTAAGTGTGGGAGACCTGGCACAGAGAGCTGCAAAGAGTGGCAAGGAAGCCTGCACAGCATCTTCTGTCTCTAGGGCTCTGCTTGGGCCGTGGTCTGTGACACCAGCCTGGCCTTACAACACTAGCAGGGCACCTGCCTGGCCTACGTGCCCAGGTGGTTACCCAGGCAAGAATTCACACTGACCTTCCCTGGGCGACCGAGGCCTCTTAGCATCAGTTTCCTTATCTGGAATACGGACAATGTGGTCCCCATTTCATTAGGATTCTGAAAGCCAGAAATATACATGGGACTGTGTTCTGTAGATTAGACCTGCATGAGTAGTTTGAAATGTTTTAGCAAGTACATTTTTGAAAAGGAAAAGGAAATGGGAGATTCGCTTTTACAGTGTTCGATTTAATCCATCATCACTTTCCCGTTGGTGAGATACGTAACATTATTTCATTTCTGTGGCCCGAGCCGCACCAGTGGCTATAGCAGCTAACGTACCATGCAGGGCTGACCCAAGGCCCTCGCATGCCACCTGCTGTGACCCAGGGCAAATGAGTAGGTCCCTGGGCTGACTCCCATCTCCAACCCTCCCACTAGTACTTTGCCAAAGTGGCAGGACCTCGTGACACCTTGGTTTTCTCCTGGCAAGTGACCCTGATGATGGTGTTTTGAGGACCATGTAAAGGTGCTTAGAAAGGTCACCCCACTATGGCAAACACCATCTATCACTGCTGCTGCTGCTGCTGTGACTGTCCTTTGATCCTCTGAGCCTTTATTTTGGCCTACTAACTTTGGGGGTGGGCAGTAATGAGGCTTGAACCCAGAACCTGCACTGAGCTATATCCTTCAACTTATCTCATTGTTTAAATTTTAAAACAGGATCTTAGCGTTACTAAATTACCCAGCCTGGACTCATACCTGTGGCCTTACTGCCTCAGCCTCCCAGAATGCTGGGATTGCAGGCATGCACCACTCCGCCCACCTTTGGGATCAGCTTTCAGCTGCTGAGCCGGAGGTGGTGGGCCCAGGCACAGGGAAGAAGCGGGCAAACCTGTGGTTAGATAGACAGTGGGCCCTGGAAGCTGAGCTGTGAGCAGCCCAGTCACCTCCCTGCCTTACCCACCATACACGAGTAGTTTGCAGAGCGCTCTACACCAGGAAACTAGCTCCCCACTTCACCCGTCCAACTGGTGCGACTTCCTGTGTTTCAGATCGCCCTGTGCCACTTTTTCTTTAATATCTCCGGCATCTTACTGTGGTACCCGATCCCGTTCACCCGCCTGCCCATCCGCATGGCCAAAGGCCTGGGCAACATCTCCTCAAAGTACCGCTGGTTTGCCGTCGTCTACCTCATCATCTTCTTCCTCCTGATCCCGCTGACGGTGTTCGGCCTCTCGCTGGCTGGCTGGCCAGTGCTGGTGGGCGTGGGGGTGCCCATCCTCCTCCTGCTGCTCCTGGTGCTGTGCCTGGGGCTGCTGCAGTCCCGCTGCCCGAGCGTCCTGCCTCAGAAGCTGCGCACCTGGAGCTTCCTGCCCTCGTGGCTGCGCTCGCTGGAGCCCTGGGACCGAGTCGTCTCACTGCTCACCAGCTGCTGCCAGCGGCGCTGCTGTTGCTGCTGCCGCGTGTGCTGCCGCGTGTGCTGCCTTATGTGCGGGTGCACCAAGTGCTGCCGCTGCAGCAAGTGCTGTGAGGACCTGGAGGAGGAGGAGCCGGGGGTCCCCATGAAGGGGCCCGGGGCCTTCAGCGTAGCTGTGGTCCAGAAGGCCCAGGGTCAGGGCAAGGCCCATGCTGATGCCCTGGATACAGCGAGCTCTTGCACCATCACAGCCTTCTAGGGAGGGCCTGGGGCCAGGGTACTGCAGGGGGAGGGGCCCAGGGTCCACATGCACCTGCCTTCTGCTTCTGCAGCATCTGGACAGCCCCTGCCCTCCACAGGGCGACATGGACGAGTAGAGTATGACCGTGTCCAGTCCCACACACAGCTGCACTAGCAACCTGTTTCTAGACCCAGGCCAGCCTTCCAGTTGGGCAAGACCAAGGACAGATCAGGAAACAATTCCAAGGAATTTTTGGGAACTTCCCCAAGAAGTGCACACAGCAGCTCTCCCTTTTTATGCTGGAGCCTATTTTTCCCAAAAGCAGCAGGACCAGGGAAGTAGGGGGACCTCAGATGTGGTTCTTTCCCACGTGGAAGAGCTTCATCACCTGGGGCTCAGGATGTGCTTGGCCTACCTGCCTGGACAGAGATGAGGGGAGAGAGTCCCTCACTGGGCTTCATTTAAAAGCCTAACCAACAGGCACCAGGGCTACTGCCCTCTGCCACTGTCTTGGTCAGAAATCATCCCTGTTGGAATAAGATACGCAGTTCCTCAAAGCCTACTCTCTCCCCTGGAACCCCTGGGGCATCTGTACAGGCAACAGTCCTACAGTTTTTTGCTTATTTGGGCCAGTCTCGTGGTCAGCTTCTATCCATCTGCCCACCCTAGTTTCCCTTGGAATCTGCAAGCATCTCCCCTGCCCTGTAAATGAGCTTGGGTTTCCTGCCCTCTGTCCACATCTGCAAAGCTCCAGCCTTGTCCTAGGGGGAGGCAGCTAGGGCTGACACAACGCTGCCTGCCTTGCACGATGGGTGTGCCAAGTGTGTGCTCTTGCTTGTCCAGGATGCCCTCCGTGTGTCTCCTGGAGTCCCTGTGCCTTTCATGCCTCTGCTCTCACCCTCAGCTCCTCTCTGGCAAGTGAACTTCAGCCTTATCCAGGAAAGGGGAGGATGTGGCTGTGCCCCAAGACCCTGTCCTCCAGCACCCTCTCCATCAGACAAGCTTGGGGTGCCAAACTGTACCCCCTGTGTAGATACAAATCCCCAAACAGAGCCATTTATACTTTATAGTCATGCCCCTGTACAGCATTTTTCATAAGTTATGTAGTAAATAGTTTGTAGTTTTATGCATTTTTAGTGTCTCATTTGGAAATGAGGCAGGGTTCTTCTATGAAATGTAAAGACAGAACGAGCACCTTTGTATATTTTGTGATATTACCTTTTAAGCACACCTCTGGGCCCCGCTGCCCTGCACACTGTATATATGTAAGTTAAACCCAGGCAGTGGCCATGGCCATCTTTGCACTCTGAGTTTTTAAAACTGAAATCCTTGTACCTGCATTGATTGTATGTGTTTTTTTTTTACCGGTTGTGGGAAGGGAGAAATAAAAGGGATAAACCAACCCAAAAGGAGTGTGCTGTTTTCAATCACAGAGAAATACAGGCCTTCTTGGAATTATTTCCTTAAAAATGTGAGTCCTCTTCCTCACTGAACTTAACTACCTGCCACACAATCCTTGAGTTCCCTTGTTCAGAAACCCAGGGGAAAACTAACACAACTTTCTTCATTTATTGGTCATGGAGATTTGCTACTGAGGGTTGTGCTAGGCAAAATATTAACATTTAAGGTATCAACACGAGTGTTATGGTTCATCCTTTTATTGTGCAGTGCCACTTTTGAATGCAACTTTAAATGCAAACTGTTAGAGTGGAATCACAGAGTTTACACAACTCATGGTTTGTGGCTTGGGCACCATATTGTTCCCAGTGGAGCAGAAAGAACTGCACAGTCTCCATTGTGTGTCCGGTGGGCTTGGCTTCTGTGCTCTCCCAACACCACCCTCCCAGTGAGTCAGGCAGAGCTGAGCTCTGGAAGGTGGCAAGGAGCCACCTCGCTTTCCAGGCCTCCCTGGTAGCCACCCGGAGGACTAGTGGACAGGAGGGCGGGGGGCTGGCCTCTTAGCCCTGCTTCCCAGAATGCCACTGTTCGGCTGTGGTTTCAGGTGGTCGTTGTCTCCGTCAGGCGCTGTCCACCTATGAAGATGATCCTCCATGAGGAAAGAGGCCAGCAGCACCTTCCTACAGCAGCTGAAGCCAGCGCTTAGGGTGGAGTTGGCTAGGTAGACTGACTCGAAATTTGCACGCTGGTCACTTGGGCACTTGGGTTCCACTCCAAGAAGTGTCATGTATTTTTCTGTGCCAATTTCCTCATCTTTATCACGGTCCAGAAACACTTGACTTGCTATGATTGTTACACTGAGGTACGGTCAACTCAGTATCCTGGGGAAGGGGATATTATTTCTAACTATAATCATCCCTCACCCCTGGCTGCAGATACCACCTGTAATTTCAGCTGTCTGGAAGGCAGAGACAGGAGGGTCACAAATTAGAGCCCAGCCTGGGCAATTTAACAATTTAGAGCTTGTCTCAAAAAAGGGCTAAGGATGTAGCTCAGTGGGAAGGCACTGAGTTCAGTCCTCAGTACTGCAAACAAACAAATACAAACAAAAAAGATACACATTCAAGACTCTCAAATCTTATAAAAGAGAATAGTAATTGTGTAAGGTCTGTACATAGCCCTTGACAAAAAAAATCAGTGCATATTCAATGTAGATGCAATTTTTAAAAGTATTATTGACGTGGGGTTGGCTGACTGCAGTGCGGAGCTCACTGTGTGAGCACAGACCCCTGAGTAAGGACCATAATGACCGAATGTTTAGCCCTTGCAGGTGTTACTTGCTTGGTACATTATGCCCCAGATTACAGGGGTCTGCCAGGCATGTGGTCCACCACACAGATGCTTCCTGCCAACTCAGGGGCTGCCGTGAGCCAGTGAACACACCGGAACTGGCCTGAGATTTTGGGTCAGGACAGGGTACAAGTGCCCTGGGGCACCATCGAGGGTGGGTGCAAAGAACACTGCTTGTTTGGGAAGATGACACTGCTCAGCCCTCTAGAGCACAGGTCTCACCACGGCAGGCAGGGCTGGGCGCTGCTTTCCTGGGTGCCGATATGCGTCTTGTCAAGGTTGAAAATTAACTTCCCCTAGGTAGCTGACTGCACACTTCGCTGCTGCTTGCCCTGTCCTCCAGCCTGGCGCCTGGGGCAGTCCCTTTCCCCTCTCTGTGCCTTGTGCCCACATGGTGCTCTGCGGCCATCACAGAAGCACAGGGCCATTCTCCCCACCCACCCACAGCCCTGGCTTCTGTAGACCAGGTTTACTCCTCGGCCACGTCCTCACACCTGCCTCCCGTCTCAAGCCGGTCCAGCTTTGCAGTGTCACTGCTGTCAAATGCGAGTCAGTCAAGAGCCAAACAGTGCACCAGTTCTGCGCTTCCTCTGAGTGCTTTTTTAAGATCAGTGCTGTTGTATAAGCATTTCCCCCAAATGCTCATGAAAGAGAACCTGTTCTGTTTTCCTTCCTTCTTTGCTTGATGCTGGCTTGTTTCCCTGTCTTCCTTTCCTCCCTCCTTCCCTCTCCCCTTTCCCTTTCTCCTGTGTCCCTCTCTCTCTCTCTCTCTCTCTCTCTCTCTCTCTTTCTCTCTCTCTCCTTCTCCTTCTCTCTTTCTCCTTTACTTTCTTGTCCTTTGTCCTTTTCTCCTTTGTTTTCGTGATGGTTCTGTCAGTCTTTTAAACATCAATCATTCTGAACTATGCTGTCTTCTAGGATGAATATACTTTTCTCTATTTTAAATTCTATTTCTTAGTTCTGTGGTTTGTTTTGAGCATCTGAGAAAGGGCACATCTGAATCCTCTAACAACTGTAAGCCAAAATAAACCTCTCCTCCTTTAACTATATGTCACACGTTTTGTCCTAGAGATAAGAAAGTTACTAAGACACATGTAATTCAACTTCATGTTTGTTTGTTATTGTGAAGACCACTGTTTTTGTTTATATAGGTTGTTCCCTATCTTCTAGGCTCCAGGTGATAAGAGGTCATGAGGAGAGGAAGGCCATGGTACACAGAACAGCCCAACAAAGCTCATTCTACACTACTGACCAGAGCAAACAATAAAATGGCAATTAATTGTAAGGTGCTACATTTTGGGGTTGTTTGTTACACAGCACAAGATAACCAATACAATTCTTCAAAGAATGGACTCTGGCTTAACTCTGATGCACTTCCTGACCTCACTGCCCACCTCTTGTCTGTCTCATGGTTCTTTGGTTTAATTTCCGCAGAGGATAAACTTCCTCTCCTGCTGGAATAGAAGAGCACAGGTCCTCCTGGGCCTATTATTTAATCACTAACTTTATCATATTGTCATTAAGGTGCCTCATTAGTAGAATAGATCACCTTCTCAGGCACTGGCTAACATATGGCCTGTGAATTATAAATTATGCCTTCTCATTTGGCCCAGATTAACTCCACAAAGTACAAAAGGATTCTAGGACCTGGCTGTGGGTGCTGAGGATGTAGCTTTGCAACCTTTAGTCTGTTATAGTCTTGGGAAGGTAACAAATGACCTCTTTTTCTTCCCTTATAGAGTTTGAAGTCAGTTTTTAAAAATAAGACATAGAAGATGGAGAGGAAATATTCACTTTTTGATGAAGAAGCTGATTGTTTGATGGAACTTTTAGACTTAGCGGATGTGTTGTTAACACTTTCCCTTGAATGAAACCAATTTTCCGACCCCTCAACAGGAGAGGTGATGGGGAGACCTGCTCAAGTTCACTGTAGCTCATTAGCGCCATGAGATCCACAGGTGATCCAGGTCCAAAGCTGAGTGTGCTTATTCTTCCAGTATTGTCTGAAAGCAGACAATAGAGAGGCGAGGGGGTCACTCTAATTGGATGGCAGATGCGTCCTCAGAGAGTCTGAAGAGACAGGAGTTACTCATCTCCACCTAACAGATAAAGAAACATCGGTTTCCAAGAATTGAGCTGACAGTATCAAAATGACGGATTAGAACTCCAAGCCCAGGGCTGCGCTTGCCGAGGCGTGCTGTGTGTGACTCAGAGATCTCAAGATAGCAAGGTTACAGAGCAGGCAGATGCAGCGGAGGTGACATATGAGGGCTTCAGGAGCAAGAGGCTGAGGAGACGGTGGGACAAGCCACACAGAAGGGATAATGAGAGAGGACCCGAGTCCTAGTCGATGGATTGAACTTAAAACAACATCACAGCAGCCTCCAAGGCCGGCTCCCTGGTCCTCAAGGGCGGCCCAATCCTGGCTCCTCACTCTTGACTGAAGTACGTGTGGGGCACCTCGTGAGCCAAAGCAGGACAAGTACTCCCCAGATATCCAGGCTGGGGAAAAGCGGCTAGGTTTTCACCACACGACCCCTCGGAACCATGGGGGTGCTTGAGATTGGCCTCGGGAGGGAGGCTCGTCTCACCTTCCTTGCCTGGAGCTCCTGGTCCCCTTGGCCAATGGGGAGACATTGATCAGGAATTTGTATCTGCTCCTCACCCTGGTCCTGGCTCGGGCATCATCATTCTTTCTGAAAACAGTAAGGAAAGCATGTTCCTTCCTTCTAAATGAACCAAAAGCTAACTCACAGCTTAAAAGAAGAAGAAGTTAAGCTCAGGCAATCATGGGTGGTTAACTGGGCGTCATCATGAACTTCCCACCGAGATATTCCGACAACCCAATTACCCAGATTTTAAACAATCAGCCAAATCCTTTGCTGTGCTTCACATCCACCGTAAGAAAGCTTTACCTTGTGTCCCTCTGGAGACCCTTGAGTCCACTTTACTGTCTGCTCAAATAACCCTTGAAAATGTCCAATGTGCTAAACTTTTTAAATACATCTTTGATATTCTTATCAATCTCACTCTTGCTCCCCACAAAAAAAGGGAAGAAAATATTAAGAATCTAGGTGCAGTGGGTGAGGAAACATTGTCATGTGATATTTTTAAGTAAGACAAGAAGTTTGTGTAGAAGCTGTCGGTGGGTCAGGTCAAAACTGAGGTATGCTGGCTGTGACTGTTACCTTCCTGTCCGCTCCCACCCCTGTGTTTCTTTCTGGTTACCTATTTTAGTCACTTCTTGTCACCGAGAAAAATGTACTACGCAACCTTGGCAAATTAAAAGAGGAAAGATTTATTTTGGTTCACTGCTTATAAAGGTTTCAGCTCAGTTCATAGCTGGCTGGCTCCAAGGCATGGCAGACAGGAAGTAGAGAGTGACAGAGAGCAGGGAGGACAGAAACCTTGCCGGGGCACATCCCCAGGGACTGCTGCCACGTCCTAACAGCAAATCAGCTCCAAGCCCTATAACCCAAACTCCCTTCCGAGGCACGTCTAGAAGTAAAACGTAACTGTGCCAATCCTTCCCTCGTCTGAGTCCAGTGAGGCGACTCCAGCAGGGTGCCAGAGAGGTGAGCGGAGTTTGCTGCAGGTGGTGACACAATGAGCTACGGTGTCTGCTGCGGAAAGGTGTGTGAGAAATAAGGCTGC